CACATAGCCCCCCAGTTTTTGCCCAATACCCCCACGTACTTTTCTCTTTTGTAAAAAACCCTATTAATTCACTAGTAGCAGCTGAGGGAAGGAATTGAGACACACGGGCAGCACTAAAATCCAGTGTGGCACCCAAGATGTCTGAATGAAAGGACCCGCACAAGGGAGATGGGTGACCCCACAGAGCCCAGAGGCCTTCGCAAGAAACCTGCTCGGCCCCGGCGAGACGGGAGAGCTGGACCCAGGTGCTGTTCCCCACAGTGCAGATGCCCCCAAAGGTTTATAAAAAACACTGCAAGCCAACACAAGTCAAAGGAGACATGTCAGGTTGGGAGACACTCAGGAGCGAGTTCCTGACTGAGGTTCAAGGGAGACAATGGTCCCAAAGACAACCCTCACCAGTGGCCACCCACCCTCGCTTGATGCCACCTCTCCCGAGGCTCAGAGCTGCTGTCACCAGCCCGGTGGAGCAGCCGGGTTCTGGTTCTTGGCAAGGCAGCAAGAACGCAGCATTCAGTATGGGTGCCCAAAATCACAGCTGTCTTAAAAATGGGCCATTGTTTATATTCCATTTTAACTTCCCTTTATTGTACAAGGCACAATATAAAGCAATAAAGGTGCTGGGGATTAATGTGATCCCTAACTCAGTGCTGCGATAGCATCCAGGTGATGTATTTGTGAGTTTTACAGAATCGCAGTAGCTGCTTCTCACCACCATGGGTCTGATGATGATCACAGCATTATTGTAAAAAGCAAGATCTGCTAACAGATGACTTGCTGTTTTGATAAACTGCTGCTCACAGAGAGCTACCAAGCACTGCATTTGAAGGAATGCAAACAGGACAATATTTTTTCCCTTGCACACTTGCACTGCCCCAGGCTGCTCTGAAGTCCCCTGTCCTAGTACCTCCCCTCTGGGTATGTTTGCCAGAAATTCATGCAAAGGTTTCCCTCTTTTTGCTCTCTCCTTTGTTAGCACCATTAAAATACCTTTCCCAAGATGTTTGTCTGACCTTTCATCAATCTACAGCCTCTCCAAATCCAAACACTTTTGAAACAGCTTAGAAGCCCTAAGTTTTCAGCTTTGCAGGCTGCTTAGAGTGAACGAAAAAAAAATAATCCCCCAACAATTACAAGGATGTGATCAACAGCAACTGCTAAATTTGGTTTCTGTTCTATCTTTCACCACTCAACCAAAATCCATCATTTCCTTCCAGCCCTAGATGCCATGAATACGCACCGTAGGCGGGACCTTCCAAGCACCAACCTGCCTCATTTGGAAGCTACCCAAAAATTGCCACTACCCATCTGCCCTTCACACCCATCTCATTCTGGATGTGTCAAAAATCCTCGACGTTCTGTTAACATGACCAAGTGCTCTCCATACTGCTCGAGTGGAGCTCTCCCTCCAGCTGGAATATGCCAAAATAGATCTGCCGTCACTTCCCACAGATGTCCTCCTCCCTTGGGAGGCCCCTGGGAGGAAAGGCCACAAGTTAAATATTTCTTTTTCCCCCACAGCTGACTTCTGATAGTAATTTTGAATCCACCAAGCTCTCAACGACCTCAGAACATACAGGGAGTGTTGGACATACAGGGAATGGAAGGTGAGGTCTAGCAGGACAGCCAGCCACAGCTGATTTCATCCCGCCATCCCTTCGAGATTCTCAAATATCTGTCCTTCATCACAGTGCCAACAAAAAAGGCCAACTTGTACAAGTGTCACCAAGGCTCCAACACACTCTCTGCCCTCCGGCAGTGAGGGCAAGTCAGTTTTCCATTTAAAGAAAAGGCTTACTAAGGATCCTAAGAAATCATAGCACAGTTCCTTTTGCCTAAAGAAAGTCTTAGTAAGATGGCAGTCGCTTTCAAATCCTGGAACAAATGAAAATTAAAGCTGGCTTCTGTTATTGTGACTCATCAATCCCGTAACAATAATCAAGATCCATTTAATTACTCACAGCACCTGTGGACAGATTAATTCTTTCAGCTGCAACTGTGCTAAAGGAAGACCTTACCTCTTACGGTTACTATATCCCTTGGGTCTGCTACTGTAGCCTCTAAGGTGAGGGCCCCAAAATGCCAGAGTTAGCAGAGATCTTCTGTGTTGGTGACCTGCAGCCTAACTCACAAATCTTTTTATTTTCCTCTACTCCATGGGTGGGACAGTGCTGAGAGAGAATCAGGATCAAGCATGGAGTAAAGCCATAGGAGAAGGCCTGCATTTTGTTGTTCTACAGATCAAAGTGTGTGTGAAATCTCAACAACTGCAAGACAGAAAGTTAACCTGGTTACAAAGAGCCGCTGACAAGAGCTCCATCTTTGTCTAACAGTGCCTCAATTTTGGGGTGTTCCTCTCAATACCTCCCCTGCAGCAGGTACATCAGTGCAGTACTTCTAGAGCTTGAAGGGCCTGCCCAAGTTACAGTCCTTCCAATACATCTGTCTGTCCAAATCCTCTAACCTTACTCTACTCAGAAATGCAACAGAATTTCCATCCTTAAGGGCGGGAGTGCAGATTTTTTGTAACTTTTTAGTACTTGTATAGATGGAGACCAAAACAAGTTTCTCAAAGCATCAGCAAAGTGTGAGCACTGACCTGGTTCTATCTAAGTATTTCCCTGGCCACATGGATTTATACATATTCTAGCTCTACCTCACTCAGATGACTACAGCTCGATTGCGCTTGCTCCAGACAGCTCAGCTGCCAGGAGGCTTGAAGAAATTTTCTGTCATCCATCCCCTTTTCCTTAAAAAGAATCACTCTTTGTAACACTGCCATTTTCACTCTTTTTGATTGTTGCATACACACATCGAAAAGACACTAAGAATAAACTTAAAGGTTTGGATCTGTCGAGTCAGCTGAACAAGACGTTGCCCACCTTTCACTTGTTAAAAAACCAGAAAGGCAGCCTGGTTTCTGTTAGAGGAAGGGTTGCAAGGAGCTCCGTCACTGCAGCTTACAAACATCTGTCCAGCTGTCTCCTGTGCCAAGGGAGAGTTGCATTTCAGTCTGAACCGAGCCCCCTGACATCCCACCCTTGTGCTCACTACACGCACAGCTCAGAGGGTCCACCCTGAGGCCAACTTCACCGACGGGAGGTGGCCAATGCAGAGTTACGCAAAGCGAGGCCCCAAAGGGAAGTTTAGAAGAGGAAAGAAATGGGGAAGTTTCCCTGGAAACCCGTTTTAGATTCTGTAAGAAAGCAAGCTCCGTTGCAGGGCAACTCAAACCTTTGCTAGTCCACGCGTCACCTCAGTTCGCTGATGACATTAACTGGACACTTACTAAACCAGTTTCAGGCAGGTGGCACTGGCCCACGCTGATTCTACACACAGAGGGACAGAGCACTTTTCTATGTTGCAACTGCTCTCCTCCCGCCACGCCACTACTCGTGCTTGATGGACACGTCTGCATCTACAAACCTGAGCCTCCACCTCCAGGTCAACAGGTTTTTTCAACTGGTCATCAGTCTCTCAAACCACATCTTCATCAAGAGGACAAAGATGAAAGGTGGAACACCTAGAGGAAACTTCTAGGCTCAGAGGTGAAGCTACAGCTGGTAATGCTTGCTTTTCCCCTTCTGACACGCTCACACTTTGTTTTAGAGAACAAAGGAAGCTCTGGACTCTGTGTAAGCCTGTAAAACTTCAGAACAACCTCACAACGTAGTAAACAAGGTACCTGTAAGCTTTAGACTTCTCATTCTCTTTCTGATCACCTGTTTCCTATCCATGCAGCCACCTGTTTTGAGAATAGCAACTTCACAGCATTAACAGCTACTTTCTGAATCATGTTTTATGAATGAGGAGTGGCAAAATTTAATAGGATGCTGTTTCACTTCATCATACAATTCACATTGTGACGTACAAGAGTTTCCATTATGAAACTATAAGAATATATTCCCAGAGTCTGAATCAAAGTTCAATAATTTAAGATTCAGCTGTTATCTAGGAAGACCTGTCCCAGCACTGCAAGTTTAGAGTTAAAAGACTGACTGGGGCAACTCAGGAGGGAGTGTGAGCTCTTCTTAGAGTTTCTTCTCTCTCCAGCTTTCTCTGAAGAGGCATCTGCAGGGTCTTTTGCACTTTCCCCTTCACCATGATCAGAAGCTCTTTTGAAAATGAATTTCTTAGTTTTCTTCAGGGAGTAAAATTCCCGCATCAAGTCTTCTACCTCCCACTGCTCCTCCTTACGCTTCCTGCAGCAGTGCAGCGCAGCAGGGTCTATGGGATGAGCTTCAGTGTTGAAGACGTATCCTCCAGCATTCAAGACACATTCCCCGTATGGTGTAATCACCACATCAAAGACGGATCCATCATTGTGAATGAAATTGTCTGGGTCAAACAGCAGGTACAAGTATTTTACCGTTTCGGCCAAAAAGAAGGATTCCATGCGATTATCCAGTCTGTGATCTCTCAAGTCTTTGATCTACAAGAGAAGAAATAGAGTGGGTTACAGTTACGTCAAATTCATAAGTTATGAACTTAAGGGGAGACGTAAATCCAGCTTGCAATTCATTTCAGTTAAACAGCACAGTATGGCCTCAATTCACTGGGTATTTTACACAGTCCTATGCAAATACATCCAACAAAGCTCCAGATGTTTTGAATTAGCATAGTCTAAGTGATAAGAACCAGGAAACTAACAATCAGGAGGAACTTCCTGTCTGGGCAAGAAGAATGAGTAAGCTTCCTGTCATTTCCTCCACTGAAAAAAAAAAAATAAATCACAAAGGCTTTTATCTGTTTCCCAGATCAGAAGGCCCAATTCCCAATAATCCAAATAAGAAGGTTTTTTCCTAAACTAGAGCTTGATAGTATGCTTGAAATCTTCTGTTAGATGAATTTTAGAGAGATCACTCACTGCAGCTCTCTTTTGTTTGATGAGATTTATCAAGGCATGGAGAGAAAGCAGAGTCACACAACCTGCAGGCACAGAGCCTGCATGTGAGCCTTCCTGCTAAGCTGCAACGCCCGCCAAGGTACAGGAGGCAAGAGAAGCTTCTGATGCTTTCCCACATTTTTGGCTCTGGTGCAACAGCCTGTGACAGAATCTGGCGCACTGTTCAGGCCACGAGGAAAATTACTACCAGAAATACGGCCAGCAGTTACCAGGTCAGCTTCACAGAGAAATACACGGGGTTTATTTGACAAAGAAGTTGTATTTCAAAGCGATCACTTGACTCAATAGCAGAATATCATTCATGAGAACGCTTTCTAAAAGCTGAAATTTTTTTAGCAGCTGTCTAGCCAACCTAGCAGCAGATTTAGCACTTACCGTTGCAAACCCACAGTCCACCTTGCTGATTTTCTCTATTGACTCCACCGCGTCTCTCCCCAGTTCTAAGAGCGTGGGATCTCTTGTTGCCCGGTACAGATACATTGCACTCTCAATCAGCTCTGCAAAAAACCAAAAAACAACCACCCAAACATTTGCAAGGGTGAAGATTACCAAGCTATGTACACAGGGAAGACGAGATATTACTTCAACTGATCACCCAAAAGTATTTTTAAATTAGTTAAAGGGTCTAGCTTGCCTTGCATTTCCTCCGACTCAAAGCACAGATACTTGCTTTTTACAAAGGATGTGCTACAAAGAAATTCCCTGTAACCAGATTGCATCAGCTCAGGGAAGGGTGAATAATGCTCCCCTCCCACATTCCAGGAGTGGGAGGGGAGCAAGAGAGAAAAGGATTAAAACTCAGTTGACAAAGGAAGACTAAAAAAGATTACAAACGAGAAATCCAACTCCCAAAATCTAATTTTTAAACAATACTGTAAGGCTCTGAAAACAAGCACTAGGGAAATACTCTATATAGGCAACATATGCACTGTGCTCTGCTTACTTACTAAAGAAACAGGTATTTTTGGATGTTAGAATACCTTTGAAAGTTAATAATGAGTATTTTTGGCACCAGTGTCCAATATGGATGTCACCTGAACACTCAGACCAGAAGGTGATTAATTAATCTCAAAGTTTTACTGACCTCATAATCAGGTGGGATTTTTTTTTTTGGTCAGTTGTGAAAAAAATCAGAAAAAAAAAAGACAGATCATTTCACTGCAGTATCACAAACACATGTTACATAATTCCTTTCTTATATGATACATCCCTCTTAGACCAGCACAACTAGAGTGAGTTTATTTCAGGGCCTCAGCAGAACTATAGTGATCTCTTTATACTCACTTTCGCTTCCTAAATTTAAAGAACACAAGCAGCCACGTTAATATTTCGCCTGACTTTAAAACATCCCATGTGGGACAATCAAACACTTAAACATATCAAACCCTGCACTGTGAACCCAGTTCACTAACAGGCTCCCTTTACATCGTAACACGGTGGTTCGCTTCCTCTGAAACGTGGCCCTGCTTTGTGAGCGGCAGGAAGCAAAACGTGTAGCTCTGACTTTGGAAATCGCTGGTAATACACGTGCAGGAACTAAGTCACAGCAAAACCGGGCAGGAAACTTGGGATGTCAGGTGTTAGTAACATTTCCTCGGACCATGACCAAGACTCCATGCTCCTTTTTATTTTATTTCTGCTTACCAGGCCTGAGTGGATATCCTTCTCTCTTGTCCACCGTGTAGCCCTGGGGAATGTTGTAGAACTCGGGCAGCCCACCAAACTGCTTCCAGACAGTGTAATAGTTGAGGAAGGTTCTCATGGCATTGTCTACATCCCCAATTAGGCTCTGCGAGAGAATTAGCAAAGCAACATCTGAGTGAAGAAGAAATAGCATAAGAATTATGCAGTAACACTCCTATAGTCAAAGCAAGAGATAGAGATGGGTTGTTCAGCAGCTCTGAATGCTCTAAGTAATATTTAGGCGTGATGCTGTAAGAATAGGTAGGACTAAGGAGATATGTGTTGCTTTTCCGATGGATCACATCCCACACACCTAAATAATATGAAGCCTTTCATTTTTCATTAATCAAATGCTGAGTTTCTTCAGTCAACACTTCTTGCAGTCAACCACAGCACCCAGTCTGTTTCAGCAGGGATAACAGAGTCTCAGACCAAACGCAAGTCCTGATGAGAAAGCGAACCTCTCAATGGGAAGTGATTCACACAAATAAAGCATTTACAAGATGTCGTTTTCTTTTGCCTGAAGTTCCCACCTGGATCACGAGAACACTGTCAGGGGAATTTGCTACAGCAAAACTGCCATCCCATCATGCTTACTGGGAGACTTCTATTATGGACCGTAAATAAAGTCAACATCTGCTCTTATACGAGCTCAGATTACAGTGGATTTCAGCAGAGAGCAAAACAAACTCAAACCAACACAGATGAGGATTGTATTTATAACTCCTATACTAAAGACCGACGAACAAAATCACGATATGCTACTGGTATGACAGCTTTTACCTGCAGACCTGGCCAGTAGGCCTCCAGGGACTGAAATACAGGCATGGACACTGTTCCTTTGTACATCTGAACCCAGAGGTACCAGTCATCAAACTTTGTGTAATTTTTGATAGCTTTGTTATATTCTACAAAGAAACACAGATGCATTGGTAATCCAACAAGAAAATCTTTTTAAGAATGAGAGAAGCCCCTTTTTCACTCGAGCCCCGTCACACAAGTGACTTCTCAGGATGCTCACTTCGGTAACTCAGATTGTTCAAAAGTATTACAACAAATGCTTCAGGAATAGTCTTGAATTTACCCTATTAAATTCTTGATCATCTTCTTCCACAGTCCTGCATGCAGAGTTTTTTACAGGTGCAGTGAAGAAGGCATTTCTGGGACCCTTCACAGAGGAGGCAAACCGCTCACCTAGAAACATGGACATCAGCTCCTTGTCCTGCAGGAGAATGGCCCCTTTGACAAGGTATTCAAAGTAGGAATCCACTCCCGCCCCGATGCCGGCATCCTGGGCCACCCACTTGGCAGTTATCACATCGATGTGGTTACCGACCTGGGAGAAGCGAAGAGAGGAGGAAAAAGGAAGTTAAAATGGAAATAAAGCTAATCTACTGAATTGCAATTTAAAAAAAAAATCCCCACAACACAACCACCAAGAAAACCTTGACTAGTTTTTTTTCAGGCTGTGCATTTCACAGATTCACAACATCCACACCAACTAGTATTTTCTCCATTAAAAGACACATTATCAGTAGCAGAGAAGTACAAACTGTAGAAACTTGGAATTCTATGTTTCCATTACAAATACTGCACTGGCCAAAACAAAACACCATTATCCTACTGTAAAAATGCACAATTTTGACACAATTTGTCCATTTCTAATTCTGATCTTGTAAAAGAGCAGAGAAGGATGAAGAGGTACAGACACAGAGACCGAGGCCAAGGATGTCACAGGCACAAGAGATGCCAGGCTAATATTTAAATAAATAACCCCAGCTATTCAGTTTTTCTGGAATAAGGATTAGGAGTACAAGCCAAAACCTAACGGTTTCCAACGCAAATAAAAGGAAACCCTTCCCAATACCATCACACTAGGCACTCACAGATGTTCAAAAAGCAGCCACAGAAATTAACTATAGAAGGTCAGACCAGGAGTTAGTGAACACACAGATAACACTTCTAGTTCTGAATATTCCTAAACCACCAAAGCCACAGAGGCTGGTGCTATCTTGGGGCACTTGCCATGCTCTTCTCTCTTCCGTAGGCCACTGTCACCCCGGGCATCAGACAGACCTTTTATTTAATCTGTTACAGCTGCTGTTACAAAAACTGCAATACCCAGCAGCAGGCCTTTATCTCCCAACCACATCTGTGCTGGAACAGAACAATGGCACAATGTCGGGTTGCACCACTAAAGCAGAGATGGGGATGCTGCAGGTGGTCAGGAACAATGTCAAACACAGCCCAGATACTGGCACTGTGGTTATTTATCTAGTTCTATCTCCTCTCTGTTGATGCTTTTTGATGCTTAGAATTGCATCCACCAAACTAAAGAAAAAGCAGGCCAAAACCTCCAAAGTCCATTCCTCACTCACCAGCCCAATATCAGAGCGATTTTTCCACAGTGCCTTCAAAGCCTTCCTGGCAACATCCTCGAACACTGGGTCACCAGTAAGGTGGCTTAAAGTGGCAAACTCCACTATAAATGTTCCAATTCCAGCAGTACAGGTAACTGGGGTCTCCCCTGGGTTAACTCCATGCATCAAGTTCACTGTTCCATACGGCATCCCAGTTGGGGTCTGAAAAGCTGAAATACAGTACTTTTGGTTCAATTCATTGTTCAATGTTTCATCCGACAGACTGTCAAGCAACCAGAGCCTAAGAAGCAGGACAGGAACAACTGCAGTGACTGCAAAGAACGAAATGGGAAGCAGAGTTTGATCCTGGGGCAGGGCAGAGAGGGCATCCTAAGCTACACACACTCTTGGGAAAGTACTTCAGATCTCTTCCACCCTGCCCAGAGCGGCACACTGCATGCCTACTTCATTTTTTTCACAGCACAAGCAGGGCAGCAGAAGTGGAAGTATAAACCCTGATCAAAGTGCAAACACTGAGCTTGTGATTACTCAGCAGCAACGCCAGGCACGTGCCAGGCAAGGAACAGTCCCTGCCATCAGGCTGCACATCCCAGCAGCAGCCCACAAAGAGGTAGATAAGGCTGTATCTTCTTGTCTTTACAAGCTGCTGTTTCCACAGCCTGTATTTGTTATTTATATTAAACACACTTGTCCTCAACAAGCCACAAATTGACACGTTAAGCGCATACAATGCTGGGCATGCGTACATACAACTGGCATCACACACTTCACAGTGTCTTCCCCACAAGCTAAACCTGCTTTGAGCTCAGGGGAGGCAGGACTGGTTTTATGAGTTTATGCACCAAGCAGCGTCATCTTCCTCACACACATCAGTCACCTCCTGAACTGCAGCGACACAAACCAGACAAGACCTCACCCGGCAGGAGTTTGCGAGCTGCTTCCTCAGCCATCCTCAGGAGAGGTCCCGAACACGGCCAGCCCGCTTCCACCTCGACGCCGGCCCGCTTCGACAGCAAGTGAGCTGAGAGGAGACCACCCACCACTGAAAGGTGCACAGGAAGAATTCCATTAAAGAACATGGGGAGGAATGAAATCTCACACCAGTGGTGCTCATCAGGACGCAGAGGCAGTGTTTATGGGGAAGGAAAATGAGATGGGTCATCCTTAACAGCAGAATTCAACACGCCACAAAAGTGGTTTCTTCCTTCCTCCCTGTTACAGAATCACAGAATCACAGAATGTCAGGGGTTGGAAGGGACCTCTGAAGATCATCTAGTCCCACCTTCATCCCAGCACACCTAACCACTACACCACAGCCTCAAGTGCTAGATCTACTTTTTTTTTG